GGGGGTGGTTGTAGCGGAGGGGGTTTTCCCCCCAGCGGTTCTGAGGCCGCCGCAAAGAGCCCGGTGGCTTCCCAAAATGCTGGGGGGGTGTGGGGTCCTGGGCAGGCGGCGATGTGAGCACCTGGAGACCCCCTCGGCGCCTGGGCTGGCCTGCCAGCCCCGTCATCGGCCATCGCCGCGTCGGCTGGGGGCAGCCCTGCCTGACCCCACATCCCCGCACGCTTTAGGCACTGCTTTCCCAGCTCCGGCACGTGTCTCCAGGCAGAATATGACACCGAGGACCAGAAAGACGAAGCGTCCCTTGTTCTGCCCCGGGGCAGAAAACACTCACTGCTCCGCAGAACCCCCGGGGCAGGTTACGGCCAGACACCGTCACCCACCCGGCAATGCAAGGCAGGGGTTCGTGTGGGTCCCGGTAAGGAGATGGGATAGAGCGCGGGCAGCGTAGGTCAGAGCCTGTGCAAGAAACCACCACGTTGGCATCTGCCCGGCGGGGCTTTGCGATGGTGAGAGGGGCAGGGGGCGAGGAGAGCGCCCCGGCCCCCGGCGGGGTCCACGCAGGGGAGGGAAACTCTCCCTCTGGTGTCTCCGTTGCTTCAGTGCTTCTGACTTGTTGTTTTATTTTGTTTTCAAATGTGAAGACCTGAGATTGAGCGTGGGTTTTTTTTTCCGTCTGCCACCGGACGCCGTGGCGCGGGCCCGCCCGAGGCGTCGCCTCCCGTCCCCTTCCTTCACCACGTGTAGAGGCACCTGAACAGGGATGCGATTCCCGATACCAAGGCGTTGGCAAAGCTCCGAGCGTCGCTCGGCACTGCTGGTCCGACTGGCTCCGGCCGAAGGGTCCTGCAGCGGTTCGAGGACCAGAAGAAAGTCCATGGAGACCTCGGGACCTGCGCGGAAACGCTTCCCCTGTCCGTGGGGGGCTGAGGGGCTGCGTTTTAGCAGCTGCTTGAGCTCGTGTAAGGGGTGGGGAAGGAGGTGGAGCTGACCCCGATGGGGCTCTCGGAGAGAGGAGTTTGGGGGGTGCCCACCGGCACGCCGACCCCCCGCGCCTCCAGGACGGCGGCGAGCAGGCGCTGCTGCTGCTGGCGCAGCATGTCGGCCATCAGCAGGGGCAGGGAGTTGAAGCTAGCGCTGAGCTGCTCCAGCTTGGACTCCAGGCTGCCGATCTGCTTCTCCAGGTCCTCGCTGCGGTCGTTGAGCTCGGTGATGAGGTCGTACATCACGTTTTGCATCTATGGGGAGGGGACAGAGGGGTTAGTGCCACGGCCCAGGGCCGGAGGGGTTAATGCCACTGCTGCTGGCAGCGCTGAGCCCTTTAACTGCTTCTTGCGGGCAAAGCCCCAAGAACCGCCCCGTCTCACCCGCTCCGGGAGCTCGCAGGGCACCGTGACCGCAGCTTGGCTCGCCCTGGGACGTTAAAATGAGGAAACCCTGTCTCCGCGCAGGCGGAGGGGAAAGGGGCAGCCAGCCCCGTGCTGCCAAGCACTGGTACCCACGGCTGGGGCTGCATAAGGGGGTGCAGGGAGCAAAGACCTTTCCTGGAAGCAGGGTGACCCCCCACCAGTCCCTGCCTCGTGTCTGTATTTCTCCTCCTGCCTTGCAAGAGCAGCCATCCCACGGCAGCTATTCCCAGCTGACATCTACCGAGCCGAAGCATTTTGCGGTCAGCCAGGTCCGCTCGAGTTTTTCCAAGTGAAGAGAAACACTCGGGCAGCCTGGCCGAGCTGCGAGGTCGCTGCGGGGACTTGCCTTCGAGAGGTCGACCAGGGTGTTGGCTTGGTCGCTCAGCTTCCTCTGCTCCATCTTTACGCTCCGCAACCTGGGGAGGAGGAAAGAGCAACGTGTCTGCACCCCTTCCCCAACTGCAAACCTCAGCCGGAGATCTGCCCGCATCCACGGCGATGGGAAAGGGTCCCCATGCTCCTGCCGGGGGCTGGACCACGGTTCCCACGGGGGCTCAGCATCCCCCGCAGCCCTCCCGCCCCGGCGTGCGGCCCCTTACTGGTGAATGGCTTGTAGGAACTTCCTCTGATGCTTCCTGACTTTGGCGTGATCGATCTTCTTCAGCAGCTTGGTGTGCTTATAGATGAGCCACGTTTCCCGCAGGACGTTGGCCGCCGCGTTCTTGATCTGCAAGAAGGGAGTTGGCTGCGTGTCACCGGCCCCGGCTGCGCCGGCACGCAGGATGTGGGATTTCACGGAGACACCGGTCTGGCTCTGCCGTGAGCTGCTGGATCGTGAGCCGGTGCTGCAAGAGCACTTGACTCGCCCCAGCTGGAGCGAGGCGCTCGGCTCCGCTCCCGCACGGTCTCCTGCGCCTTCGCAAGGGATCACGGGCAGCTCAGACAGGAGCACGGGCCGGCAGAGCTGCCCGCACCGAGCAGCGGGTCTTGGCCCCTGGTGCGCCCGCATCCCCATCCTACCCCGCACCGATGCTCCGCCACCGGGCTCCTCACCCCTGCGTGAAGCTGTACCCTAAGCCTCGAGAAAAAGAAAAAAATCCCAAAGTTTTTCTCAATTCCCGCATCCATCTGCCACTCTTGGCAGGTCCCGGCTGGGCTGCCGGCATGAGGACGCAGCTTCCGCAGGCTCCCCGGCTAAACCGCCGTGCTGCTGCTCACTCCAAGATGAATTGGCCACCGCCTGCCTGGCATGGAGCCTGCAGATCCATATCCACGGCCGAGGGAGCGGGGCAGACCAGCTGTTTGCCTTTCCGGCCCGGCCACGCCGAGGCCCCCAACTGTCCCCAGGGTGTCAGGGCTGCTGCCGGCACGCGGCTCTACCCGGGGCTTGGCTCTGCGGGGCAAAGCGGGGTTCCCTGGCCACATCCCGACACTGGGAGGTCGCCCTTCCAAGGGCTGCACCGACACTTGCTTTGCCACCATCCCCTATATAAAATATCACTCCTGCTGCTGGCGTGCAGAGCCCATTACATCACGCGGCGCCGTTGGGTTGCCGACGCTTTGTCATCACGAAGCTGCTGAGACCAGAGACCTCCGGCAGCCCCCGCACGCTGCCGGGGATGCGATGCCAGACCCCGGCGCGACCAGCGACCCCCTGGACCCCCTCTGTGGCCGCCATGGCCTCCGGGTCCCTCCTTGGGGATGGAAACCGCAGAAGCCTCACGGCGCAGCTCTCGTCTGTGGCAGGCGAGGCGCTGAATCACCGAAATCCAGCTGTCTTCCCGACACTGAGCTACAGGAGATCATGCTCCGCAAGAGGAGAGAGCCCATATCCTCCCCAAGGGAAAAAAAATGGGCTTTTCCTCTCGGGAGTGCAGCCGAGCATCCTGCATCGCCCAAATCCCTGATACAGAGCTGGTGCTGTTTGCTTTCACCGCAACGCCTGTGCTGCATCCAGAGCACTCAGACGCCTTCCTCCGGCCGTGGGACCCACGGGACCCGCACCCAGGGGTGCCGACGCCTTCCTCCCGCCACGGTCGCCGGCATCCCCAGCTCCCCGCAGCGCCTTACCCGCTTCGTCAGCTGCGTGTCCATCATGAAGTTGTGGACGTGCTTCTCGGCTTTGGTGAGCTCCAGCTTCCTGGCCACCACGGCCACCACCAGTGCCGTGCAGCCGGCGCCCTGCGCGGGGACATCAGTCAGGGAAACGGTTTGGCACCCTCGTGCAACAGCAGCACTCCCACCCTCACAACCCCCTAATTAATTAAACCTCCATGGCCCCCCACCCACATCACCCTAACGAGGAGATATCACAGAGCCTGGGTGTCCTTGAGCGGCTGACGATGTGCTGGGTAATTAACGGGAGAGGCTGGGGCTGATTAACGAGGTCAGTGGTGATCAGCTGTGAGCCCTCACCTCCCCGCCGCTAATTAGAAATGGCTGGGCTGAGCCTGCTTCCCGGTGCCACCGCGGGCCGGGGCCCTGCGGGATGGGGAGCCCCCCGCTCCCGAGAGGGGTGCAGGGTGGGAGAGCGGTGGGGAAGCACTGGGGGAGAGCGGGGAAGGGGACCCGCGAATCGAGACCCCGCTGAATCGCCGCGTCTCCCAACAGCGACAGCTGGGAGCTCGCTTATCCCGGCGATTAGGGCCGGATCCGCGTGGTAGCCATCATCTCCGGCGCATATTTGTCTTTGGAAAGCAAAGGTGCCAAGCCTCCGCTCCCTGTGGTGTCCCCGCGCTCTGCCTGCTGCTGCCCGTACCAGATGAGCCGCTCCCCCCTCCCGGCACTCTGGCAGAGGCCCACGATCCTGGCAAACGCTCCTTAATTTATTAAAGAGTCATTAATTAACATCATGCTCTGAGCTGAATCCTTTAGCATCCCCGAAGATCCCGCTGCGTGCTCTCGGCTCCCACCGCTTCGCTCTTCCCAGCGGGGCAGCCGCCCCTGGTGCCGCGGCTCGGGGAGCCCCCGGCCCCGGTGATCACGGGGGTCCCCATCCCCAGCAGTGCTGCTGGATCGGCGCCGGCAGCGGGGCACGCTTTGCCAGATGGTGCCTTGGTTCAAAGTAACCACTGGCTGCGGGGGGAGCTCCGGGAGCCCCCGGCACCGGGACGCCCTCAGCCGAGCCAGTGACCGCTGCCCCGCGCCGCGCTGCTGGCAAACGCCGCGTGTTCCCCCCCCAGGAGGGATTTTCTCCTTTGCTTGGCTCCTATCAACAGCATCAGCCTCGCTGGTGCCCGGCCTCACACAAGGCAGATCAAAGACTCGCAGATAATATAAAATTAATACCCGCTGGCGGAGCCGCCTCGGCCAACAGCTCTCGCGGGGCACAGAGCGGCAGAGCTGAGCCTGGCCAGGGCGGGGTGCCAGCTCCGGCTGCCCCGGCTGGGAAGCGGGGACAGGGATGGCTCCGTCCCCAGGGCCTGGAGCTGACGGGGGCAGCGCCGGGGTGCGGGGGGCTGGGGTGGATCTGCAGAGGAGCTGTGAGCGCAGGGCCCCTGGCCACTCCTTTGGCCACCCTGGCTAGAAAGCCCCGCAAGCTGGGACATCTCACGGGCGCCTTGGAGCAGGTATGCCGGAGGCCCCGGAGGACGGTGACCTTCTGGCCATGAGGAAATGAAGCCGCGGCAGAGCGGTGATGCCGGTGGGAGCGCGGCGGGGGCGGAGGGCTCCCAGCTGGTCCCAGCTCTCAGTGGGAGCCGGCAGCATTTGGGATTGCTCCGGGCGATGGAAGCCAGGCGGCGCGAGCAGGGACAGCCAAGGGATGCTCGGGGGCCCCTCTGCTCCCTGAGGACACCCCTGACCCCGCCGCGGTCCAGCTCCCCCCTCCCTCGCCGACCGTAGGTCCAAATCCACCCCAAATTCACCAGTGGGGACCGCGGGGCAAGGGACTGGCTGGCGTCCCACGCTGCACCCGGTGCGACTGCAGCACCCGCCAGGCACGCACCCAGCCTGCGCCATGAACCAAACCACCACGTCCTGCTAATTACTGCGCTTACAGTAATTGCAATTACAGCTCTATCACCTTCCAGGCTGCGAGACCTCGGAGCCGAAGTCGTTACACCTCATGCACGGACAAGCCAGCCGGGAAGCAGGTCCCCTTAAAATCTGGTAGCCCTGCAGGACGGGCAACCGGCTCGGCACGGCCCTTACCATGATGCCGGTGAGCAGGCAGACACCCTTCCCGCAGTAGGTGTGTGGGACCATGTCACCGTAGCCGATGGAGAGGAAGGTGATGGAGATGAGCCACATGGCACCCAAGAAGTTGCTGGTTACGTCCTGCTGGTCATGGTACCTGCCAAGGAGACATGGGCGTCAGCGTCACGGCAGGGGACGGGGACGGCTGCAGGGAGCAATGGGGGCACTTGGGCACGGCGGCTCTCCTGGCACGAGGCTGTGCCGCGCCACGGGGAATAGGGATTAATAACGCGGCAGGATGCCCCGTAGCAGCGGCGCTTGCACAATTTGTGGCACAGGAAAACCCCCAAGGACAAAATCAGAGCGAAAACTCCATGGAGAGGGCTTCTGCTTTTGGTCAGACCTGTCACCACATCCTAGTCCCACCGGCTGCATCCCCGGTGCCACGCAGCACGGTGGCAAGAGCCAGCTGATGGGAGAAACAGCTGTGGTTCGGCAAAGCCCCCAACGGCACCAGCTCGCCGCCGGGGTCCTCCTCCATGTCCCCTGGCTGCGGTGGCTCAGGCTGAGCCCACTCGCCCTGTGCCACCCCGGGGGATGGTGCCGTCAGCAGCCCCGGCAGGACCACTGGGGACGGATCCTGCCAAGCCTCCGGCACGCACTTGGCTCTTGGACAATGCGGGGGGGACGGCTCACGCGCTCGAGACAAAGCACACGTGGAGCGGCTGCGGCTTCGGGGATGCTGCAAACTTTCCGTGGCCATGTCCCTGCCGAGCTGCGAGGTCAGCGACCGCCCTGGCCAGCCCAGCAGCCGGCTGCGGCTCTTCCGGCAAACACGCAACCGGGGGCCCCGGCTGCCTCCGGTTCCCCAGGGCCGGTGCGAGCCCGGCTGAGCCGCGCAGGGATGCTCCCGGGGGGATGGAGGGCTGGCTCCCGGCGGTGAAACGGGGGCTGGCCTGGCCCGCAGCGGGACTCAGCCCAACGCCCCAGGGTGGGCAGGGGAAGGCAGCACCTTCGCCCTGCCACGGGCAGGACGGTCACCTCCTGCCTGCACGCATCCCTCTCCCTGGCAGGCTTCTCCCAGCCTCCTCATGAAATCATTAGAGGGAAACCAGATGGAGCTTTTGGCAATTCCCCCCCAGTTCATCCCAGCTCCTTCTTCCCGGAGCAGTTGGGTTTTCTCCTCTTCCGAAATGTTTTTCCCCCCAAGTAACTGGAGACCTGAACGACATCTTGGCGCATGAGAAAGCGCCCTCAGCCACAGCGAGAGCCGCTGCCGCGCTGCGGCCAGGGGAGCCGGAGCCTGTCACCGCGGCCACGGCAGGGCTCCCCAAAATCCCGGCACCAGCAGCGGCACGCAGCCCCCATCCCGGCCAGCACGTTCCCTGGGAAAGGCTGAGCCCAGCCCGTCCCGCAGGATGTGAGCTCTCGAGCCACGGGGACGACCCCGGGAGCATCGTGCTGGGGAAGGGGGTTACGGCGCAGCCGGACAGACGGATGTTCTCTCTTCCCAGAAGCACTTTGAGCAGAAGGAGCTGATAAACAGCGGGGCCTGGCACACGCCGCGGCTGCCGCCATTGGCCCCCAGCGCCGGTTTCCATCGTCCCCTCGTCCGCCTGCCCCCACCAAGGGCACAGCTGCTCCCTGCCGGCAGGGCTGCCCCGAGCATCGCCCCAGTCCTGCGCCACGGCACCGCCGAGCGGTGCATCGCCATGCCAGGATGCTGCGGTAGCGCTGCCATCGGTTTGGGCGGCACCGCCGAGCGGAAGATCGGAACGGCGGCGGGGAGGGGGAGGGGGGA